ACCGGCTTATTGTCCCTGTAAGTCCTACCTCTGCCTCTATTAAGAAATCTTACTCTCCATTTGGCTCTACAAGAGAGAAATCAAAGTCACCTTTAACATCAGGATGTGATTCGTTGGATGAAACGCCAGCGTCATCAAATAATGGTCTACCTTCCGAAGGTGAAAGAGATACCACTCAAGTAGCTAATAGCTCAGAACCCCCGAGCGAAGTTTCTACCAGTATGATAACAGACTTTATATTTGACACTCCCCCACACGATCACGACGCGCTATATGAAGAGCCTTCAACAGATGTTGCATACGCAGCGATAGACGATACAACAACAATTGTGAACAATGATACAGACCAAGAAACGTCTGGCGAACAAAAAGACGTGTCAAACTATTTGCAAGCTCTATCCCACATCGCATCACCGCTCAAGTCAAGTTACTCTCCATTTGGATCGTGGAAGAAGGAAAGATTTCTCTCGTCGAATTCTGCTTTATACCAGCCTCCTGAATCGTTGATGTCGCTTGACTCTATTCAAACATCTCGCGTCGCGGAAGATTTGAAAGAGGATACCGAATCACCGAATACGCCCTCAAAGGATGCTGTCAATGGAAATTTTCTTGAGTCACACGGGGGATCCGTGTCGCCGTTCGTTGAAAATTCTTGTTCTTCTAGGGAGTCATTGCCCTCGGAAAGTGCTACGAACAGCTTGTATTCATCTCTTCGAGACGTTGGAGATAATACCGAAGTAACATCGGAAAACAACCGAATAAAGAAAGCATACATGGAGTGGTGCACATTCTACAACAAGGAATCCAGTGATTTGCGATTCGACATTTTTTCTGCACATTTCAAAGCTGTTKAAAAGTTTCACAAAGAGAATGGTGCTGGTTTGATGCTAAATGAATTTTCGGATCTTACAGAGGAAGAATATAAGGCTACGACAAACACGAATGCAGATCAAAGCATTTTTGAGTCGGTCATCGACGGCCGAATAGTTTCAGCTTATCGACAGTGGTGTGATTGGTACCAAAAGGATTACAGTGAAGAACGCCTACAGATATTTTCATCAAACTTTTTGATTTTGGAACGATACCACGGGGGAGAGGGTGACCCCTCGCCATTGGTTTTTAACGAATACTCTGATTTGACTGAAGAAGAATATAACGAGTTGAATGATACAAAATGATCCTGAGTGCTCTTCGAAGATAATCCAAGGCAATAGAACCGCCCATAATCTTCATGTTATCCGAAAGAAAAAGCATCGCAATACGCCGATGCCGAGAAACGAACTTAAGTCAGGAAGGTCGAGAATGCATATTTCAGGAACGAAATCGACAATTGACCGGAAAGTTGAATCTCTGGTAGCGAAATTCTTGTTCTCGATCAATAAATTACATTCAAAACAAATCATTAAATGGGAACTAATGTCAACTAACTACGCCTACGTACTCTTTCTAAATGATGGCAGTTCAAGTCAAACAGCATACCGCCGTATACTGCTGCATTTGATATAATCATGAAACATGCAGGTAAAACGATGTACCTGCGTCGAAATCGGGATTTTCGTTGTGGTTGGACACGGCTCCACTCATAGTTTTTCTGAAATCGCAACTTCATTCAATTCTATCCAGATATGCTCCCGAGCGGATCGCGTCAAATGAATTGTTTACAACACGCACATCTTATTTCGATGATACTAGTATCGAATGACAGGATCTCCAACTCGCCAAGTGGCAAAAAAAGCATTGTCGCTGTCATTCTTGTTTCGATTGTGTTTCGATCCAGACGACTGAGACGATAAATCAATACTCATTTCTTGCTCCAATTCTTGCATTTGTACTCGAAATTCTCGTTCTTCTTTTTCGGCTGGCGTTTCTTCGATTATGTCGTTATCGTTCTTCTCCCAAAAGAACCTCTTTTGTCTGTTTTTCCCTTCATTTCCTTTGTTATTCTTTCCTTTCTTTCCCCTGCTGTTTTTCCCATCCTTGCTTTTTCCTTCACTGTCATCACTTTCGATGGTGATAGATGTATTAAACATGTTCATCTCTGCTCCTTTTCCCAAGACCTGTCTCTCAGTAGTGAAGAGCAGACCTGCATTGTAGTCATGATGGCCGACGATGATCGTGTTTTCCTTGTTGTCTACTTTACGAATAGCTTCGAGATCGTACCATTCAAAATCATGGTCCGGAATCACGGCAAGAGATGTCCTCGTTGAAGCAGGACAAAATGTGGTACAAGTCTGTGCAACAATGGCAACGGTCGTTGGACCAGAGTAACTCTGTCGACTCTGTCGTCTCTGTCGTTTGTTTTGATTCCCGGTGATGCTACTTTGGTATTGATCGAGTCGTACACCCTGGCCTTGAGGCGTTGTCACACTTCTAGGGCACGATCGATCCAAACCGCAACTCCTGAAATCTGGGTCCCCTCCGTCCTTTTGCATTTTCTTAATGAGATAACAGAGGTAATTGCTGTCTCTTTCTGAACTTTGTTTGACAAAGTTTTTGATTATTACAGTTTTTGTCATACAGAGTACGTACCCTAGCAGATAGTTTTCTACGAGCAAAATTACATGAACTGTCTCGTAATTTCAATGATTTCCCAGTACCGTTTTCTGCTTCATATAGACAATCGAAGTAAAAAACTGTTCAACGTAATAGCGGTAAGGTACAAAACGAGCAATAAGAACAAAAGATGATGGGGTTGATCAACTTAATTGTTTATCTTGACACTTTCTCAGGCTATGAATACACACGATCAATACTCGGTAGTGAAATCCATTAGAACATCAAGGAATATTTAAGGGACAAAGGCAATAGTAATTTGGAGTCGTGATTGCTATTTCATAATGCTACTACAAATTCAATTCGAACAAGCACGATGAATGGCACATAGTTGATATTTTGTTGGTCATGATCTTGCGTTCATCAATCCTTCCTTCAAGCCAGGAATCACTTAAAGTTTTGAATTGCCTCAGTCTTGTCTGCTGTTTGAGTTGGGGATACTTTGGCGCTCTATCATTTTTAATCGACTCACTGGACTCATTTTCGATGTTTTTTTTCAAACATTGAAGATTGAAGCTTTCTACATTAATCGTACTTGTACGTACGTACACTCCCGGTGGTGCCAGATTATCGAAAGCATTCTGACGACGGGATCCTAAACTTAGTTCGTCACTCAATTTTTGACACCATTGTTCCACGGTACTTAATGAAAAAAGTAAAAATCAAAACAAAGAAAACGTACCTCCTGAGGTGGCAACTTTGAGAACATCAATTTCGTTATATAAAATTCAATTTGGCGAATAGATAAAAATAAAAATTCGACACGTGGGGAATGTCATAAATCCCATCGCTGCAATAATTCCACAACACGTAATTTGATGGCACCCAACGTAGTTACGCAAGCTTACGTCTATCAATTTGCGTTCTTCCCTGTTTGAGGACGTTGAGTTATCATTTTCATCACCTGAAAATACTGTAGGAAACAAACGGCTCCTATGAGAAAAACCTTGTGGTCACAAAACAAGACAACGGAGAAGACGGCCGGCAACCATACTTGTATTATCATCGTTTCCAATCCAACTAGCTACATCAATCATGCCCGGTATTATGATGAATAGTTACTCCTCTTCCAGTCGGAAGACCATGAGGCGTTCGTGTTGTATACGATTACGAACGTCGTCGACAAACTCTTGCATGGCGTCTTCTTCATCCCACTTTGCGTCGTGCAACAATTCCTCGAGATCAGCTGCTTCTGAATTTTCATCAACTGCATCATCGAGAACGAACTCAGTAAACATTCGCGACAGAAGCTACAACGGCGGGTCATGCAGTCCCAAGAATATTGAAAGTACTCGATCGCTCGACACGTACTTCGCAAGAACAAACAAGGATCAACGGAAAACTGAAGAATGGGGTCACTTCGTTGACCTGTAAAGACTTGCGCCACACAATACAATGAGGACGAATGAACTTCTATAGTTCCACGGATCAATGCTGCTACCAAAAAGGCATTTCCGAGGAATCAGTCTCTGTTACCATTAACGTACTACTACACTCTACTTCGAACTCGGGCTCGTGATTTCATTGGCGAAAACCATGCATAATTCTATGCCTTTGTTTTGCGACCCATTTCCTTGTCTCGGGAGGAATAACTGCACAAATTCGAACAAAAAAGCAAATCAGACATACGAATCACAAAACATATCTATTGTATGTCGGCACCTTGCTCTTTCCCTGCTACCAATACTGAAACATTTTTGTAACATCATTAATAGCTTATCAACTAACAATAGGATACTGCCGAAAAACAAGAATTCCGAAGATTTGCGTACGTAGGCGATAATGCAATTGAAAGCCGATGTTTCGTGTTCTTTCCACTGCCGACTGTGATTTTGTTTTCATGGGTGTAATTGATTCCGTCATTCCTATTGCAAGTGATCAATCGGAGCTCCATAAACCATGTTTTCTTGAGTTTGGAAGTTGTCATATTGAGATGCCATTCGTCTTTGAAGTGGAGCAACCTTTCAGTAGTTGTGAAGCACTGATTTTAGAATTTCCTCTATACTCAACCAACAATCATAGGTCAATTTGTTACGGCGGTAATCGTTTTGACAACATTAAATGAGTTTGACATTATATGCACTTTTGCTTCAATTCTTATCTTGTATAATTGCTTATCCTGTGTTAAACATTTTTCTGCATCTTTCAAACAGATGACTATCATACTTTGATTTTACGTGCAGTACAAGAAACTTTACATGGTGATACTGCAAACAGAATTCATTACTCAGTTCATGACTTTGTCTTCAATCAGACATCAAAAAAACAAAGCAAGTTCATTTAAAAAACAATTCATAGTCATGATGAATTCTACAATGTTCTTATCATTGATTACAAATAGAATCAACACTTGCAGGTATGAAGTACTGTTCCAAACAACCGTACAACTTCTTGAAAATTTCTTGTCTAACTAGTGACAGCTTGGACTGACTTTCTGTTTCTCTACCATAGTTGACAAACATGTTCTAGCGCACTTGAAATTCTTTTATTTCAATCATTCAGAACGTGTAATACTTAAGAATTAGCAACTGCGTGCAGAAACAAAGATCTTAAGATTAGGTATTGAATAGGAGTTTGTTATAAATTATTGTGAAAAAGCCTTGAAGGTTATCAAAAATAAGATTCCCGTTCTACTCTTTCTTCCTTGAAGTATATTTCTTGTTTCCAGCTGTTTCGTTTCCAATGAAGGTTTTTTTAACCTGCCCAAGCACCAAGTTTGCCCAATACATTTGCAACAGAGTAAACAAGATGGACATAGACAACAAGACCATAGACGGTACGCTACCTTCTACGTAGAAATCTGGGGCAGCAATCGTAGCTACCACGTATGGGAAATACAAACCCCTTACCAACAAGAAAAGGATTGCGAAAAAAATTCTTGATGTTTCGTTTATTGTGGCACAGAACTTTGAAAAGGATGAAGTCGATGAACCGTCATTTGCAAATTTGTTCCAATGGGGCGATTTTTTGGGATGAAATAAATCAACGATCTGTAGCGGGATCGACGAAAGCTCTATTGCTCCCAGAAATATTGGAGCAACATGAGTACCGACAATTCCATCGCTGCTAACAGAGGAAGGCCCAACAAGACCCAATACGCAAGATGTCACCACTACCATCCCCAAGTGATGAACATGCATCACAACGTCGTTTCGTCCTGATTCATGGCACAGACCCAGAGGAATATCCCACAAGAGTAAGGCACCCATGGCATACTGTGCAATATCGAAACCGGCAGGTACAAAGACAAGAGCCGAAACCTCGGATTCTAAATTAGAGCTTGCGCTGTAATCATGTTCTCTGAGATGTTGGAATCCCAGAAAGGTCCAATGTATCATCACAGAGAATGCAACGATTTTGTGAGCTGTCATGGAGGGGGAAATTTTCCAAGGAAAATCGTCCAGTGTTTCTGTGGCATCGGCACCTTTTCGTGATGGTAGCAGACTCCGGAAAGTAACGTAGAGGACGAGATGAAATGCCAGGCACTTCAACCCGTAAGGTAAAAGCAGAGGGAATCTATTTCGCAGCATGTCTAGTACCATTGTGCGTTTTTACTGTGATAGATCTTCTCTGGGTCACTGTTGAAAGAACCTACGGCACACTTCTCATGCTCGTATCGCAATCAAGAAAAAACAATAATACTTTACCACAGTACGCCTACCGTAGTATTGGGTTAAAAAGATCGTATCGATTATGACAATCACAGTAGAATTTGTTTGCCTACCACTCGTACGGTACTCGTACGAGCAGTCACAAAGATTGGCTCGCTACGCAAAAAGCTTACAACGGTGCAAAAATGAAGTTATTGCTAGTAAGGTTGGAGTTATGTTTTGAAAAGAATGTAGTAGAAGGTTTTCAACGAAAGCACTGTGGCTGTTTGCTGTTTCTGAAATAGGAATGGAAATCATTTATTTGTTGTGTATGCTGGGTATTGTTTTTGTTGTTGTTGTTTTTTGTAGTAAGTAGAAGAGGTGTTCTTACAAATAGACCGTTGGAAGTTGTTCTAACTCTTCTTGAAAGCACAACATAAATCCAATTCTTGCTTGTGTAAGACCAAGTTGAAACCAACACATTTTCCAAAGATCTCCCCTGTAATTTGTGAACAGTTGGTGATCGTACCGGTACGCCGGTACGTCGGTACGTCTGTAAAGTAACAGTACGATACGATTTTGAGAAGATTTTGAGCAAACTACTTTACCGGTGCGCCTAAATTTTCGAGACGGATGTTATCTGCAAGCGGTTGTGAAACTTTATTGGAGATGATACAACAATTTATTTTGAATTTATTTTGAAATTCTACTCTTTACTTGATGCTAGTTATTTGGCATTATTCTTTTGTATCGAGCTATTTGACTTTGCAGAGAGTTCATACGATAAAGCTACATTCCCTTATTGCCTCGAGCGTCGAGGTTTGACCGAATCTTACGATGCGTGATTGGCATATTACTATGTTTCAAAATTCTTCGATGTATTTTGTGCCGTTGACTCTACTGGTGATCAAAATCAAACGTGATATTCAGAGAGTGACAGATATTGCTCGTGTGTGMAGTAGAGATGGAATGAATCACTTATTTCGCGAGGCTGTCCTCCATAACAGTACTGCCAACGCTATTTGGCATTGTTACACTCTGACGCAGATTTGAGCTTTTCACAGTCTCCTCTGAATGTATGGAAAGCGTCGAGTACGAAGAATCATCCACCGAGTGGTTGGGAGAAGAAGACGAGCTCGAAGATGAATTTGACGAAGATGAATTGGAGCAGACAGCTTTTGTTCTTCTGGGGACAAGAGCAGCAGTACCGCTACTGCCACTAACAGCTTTGTCCCCTCCCCCTCGTGGGTTGAATGTTCTAGGCGGAGATTGTGATTGGGATGATCGTTGCTCCTTCACCGTTACGGCCTCGGAATTCTTCTTTATCCTTGAGCGATATGACTTCCATCGAAATTTTCTAGGACCAGCTGTATCATCATCGTTTTTTCTACTTGATGGTGCCATGGAGCCCAGCGCTTCCCGCAACCGTCTTGCTCGTTCGAGTCGCTCTAGATCGATATTCTTCGACCTAATATCCTCTTCAGTGGACAGCTTCTTGCTGCCGAAGACTYTATCGACTCCAATAAAGGAGTCAAGGCCGGTTCTCTTCTTTCTAATATCTCTGGGACCAGATGCTAGAACCTGCGACGCGGATGAAATGAATGGAAGGATGTCTGCGTGAGAAGTTTTTGGTTCCCGTCGCTGCTGTTGGCCCGGCACTGTCGGAACTTGGTCAAACGAAGCATTATTTTTTGTATGTATTTCTCCAATATTAGAGTTCATATTCAAGAAAGGAGTCAACGTGACCAATTTTTCTTGACTTATTTTTCGTTGAGGAAGTCTCGGTGCCTGGTGGTTTGATACCAATTTACTGTAGTCTAGAAATGATTGATAAGAAGCATCCATGTCAAATGTTGAATCTGTCATGTCAGCTGATGACCCTTGCCCATGTGGTTTTAAATTGGACATCGAGGAAGAGGAGGTAGAGAACCTCTCTGTACTACTATTGCTGTCGAGGTCCTTTCGGACAGCCCAGTCTTCCATAAAGTCCTCCAGGATGTCAATGCTGTCTTCTCCACTCGAAAGTCCGTCATTGGATCGAATTTCTTCTTCCTCCTCTCGGGACGACAAAGAGTTTTCAACGTCACTGTCAAAATGAAAGCTTTTAGAGCTGACAAAGTCATCTTTCAATTGCTTTTGCATTTTGCTTTTCCTTGCTTCAATATTTTTGTTCATCATGCGAGATGTAACATCATGCCAGAGCGCCTTGTCATCCCAACCAGGATTGCTTCGATTGACAGGTAGGGTGCGATCAGCACTTGGAAGTGATGAGGTAGATCGATCATAACGATTCGAAGGACTTTCTCGAGATGGAAATCCTATGTTGGTTGTACTCGATATCGTTTTTATCCTTCTGTTACCACCGATATCAAGGGCGTGTCGTGAAGTGGAAAGTGACGGGCTAGACATTGACATGGCAACATTACGCGTTCGAAGATCGGAAAGCATTCTCTTTGCAATGCGCAAGTCTTGCATGTCTTCTGTCATGTTTGACCAACGACACGGCCTGCTGGCACTGCTTACAACGTCGCTGACCGAGCTCCTATTGAAGTCGGAGGACGAGAGAACGGGTCTGTTCAACAAAAACAATGCTGCGGACAGCTCCGGAGATGCTTTGTCGTCGACGATGGTAACATCTGATGGCTTCGCACCAAGATCTTCGAGCAAAAACTTTAGGAAAGATTCCATCCTCTTCCGTATAAAATGAGAGATGGAAGTCTTGTTCCAAATATTCGAAAGCTCCCTATCCCATTCGGTGAAATCCAAAGTCTGCTCACAGATATTTCTGATACTTCTTGAGCAGTCTCGCACAAGCGGGGAATACAAGATCGATCCGGCGGCCTGCGATATTTGTTGCCCAACTCAATTACTCGTTTTCATATGATATTGATGAGGCTGGGAAACACGCTACAATAATTGAAAATCAATAATTGAAAATCACAGTTTGGGATTAAATCTTCGCTGAATTCGCATGTCAAAATAGAACATTTTTTCCATATGCCTCAAGGGTATTTACTACCAGCAGTAGGGGCATGATGACGGCGAAGCGGGTGTGACTACTGAGGAAAATGGAAATCGTTTGACGAACCTGCAACTGTAAACAATACATGTAATTTGTGAGTGATAATTAACATACGGTACTCGTAATACTTTTTGTGATCAATGCCACATGCATTTACATAAGGAAATAGCCTAGTGAACACATTATGAATTAGTTTGAAGTTTAGTGTATTGATATTTTTCTTTCGACGTTTCTGCATAATAATTGTGTAACGAATTGTCTCGGTATTCGCAGTGTGATTCAAGTTCAAGAATACTATTAGTATTATTTGTGGGTTCAACCTTATTTGCAAGCAAGGCCTTTGAAGTTAAATTCATTATTTATCAAATCTCTTTATTAGTAAATAATAAAGCCTCATTCTAAACTTCAACTGGATTTACGTACGTGTACCCCATCATCCTAGGAAGAAAGGAGAAATTTATTGCAATTCGAGAAAGGCCTAACAATCCTACTGGGGATAATGAAGAAGTATTGTGTATTGTTGAACTACTAGTAGTAGTATTGTACAACAACTACTAGTAGTAGTAGTGCCGATACTACTACTACTAGTAGAACAAGAAGACACATCTAGTAGTAATACTAATAGGTACCACCACCAGTAATACTACTACTACTACTACTAGTAGTACTACTACTAGTACTACCAAGTTAAAGGTGCTGTTCATATCATCGCACAAAAAGGGGGGGGATCTTATTTGGTTTTGCTGTTAATTTAGAGTTAGGGATACTAGTAATGCTGCCCATATTGCTTCTATGAATCCTCAATTAATCTGAATGGCTGATTGGACAATAAAAATTATCAAAAATGGTACCAGTTTACCCCCTTGAAATCCAATTTTCTCATGAGTGGTTGACTGGTGGGCCCTCCATTAGTTTTTGAGGAAGACAGTTGCCAACCTAGATTAGTAGAGTTCTTTCCCATGTATTTTAAGAGAAGAATATTGCCCAGGCAATAAGTGTTTCTCCTTCTTATTGTTCTTTAAACAATGATGGGAAACAAAGAAGAGAAACAAGGAGAGGATGAGGAGGCATTGTCGTTAATATACTGATGCAATGAGAATATTGCCCTTGTTTTAACAAGGGCAAAATTCTCTTTGTTTCTCCTTGTTTTGTGGGTCCTATGGGAAACTATTTTAATTTTAAAAACAATACTAGTAATGGAGGCAGGAGGGCCCTGCACCACTAATTTTGATAATTTTGATCTCCTGTCTACTAGTATTCGTCTGTTGTCCGTAGGATATCAGACCATGGGTATGATTCATACATAATACACATACATACGATACGTATCTACGATTCATACACACCATACATAGTATATGACTCACGCGATCCCACTGGATTCATATGATCGACATGACTCATTTCATTCACTTGCGTGAGTGACTCGACTCATTCGATTCACACATCACTCGATCCTCACAGCGATCCTTTTTAGATTTCATAGTTCGTCGATCCACGATAAGAGCATTGACTCACTTTTCTACTAGCACACACCGTCACACAAACCTGTACTATGGTTTTTTTTTT